GCGGGTCCAGGCCACCGTTAGTGCGAGCCGGTTATCCTCGAATTCACACAATCATGGAACAGTATAGGTCCCGTGATTGTTTACCTGTTCCCCAGACTGAGCGCAATTTTTGTGGACCCGCACCGAGTTATGCCGAGGTAAGTCTAACTGGTTCAGTTTGGGGGAATAAGGTTGATCAAAGGGGAAAGGGGGGGGTGAGAGCTAGAAGCGAGTCAGTTGCAGAGGCTGACGCTGGAAACCAAGATACTGGAACCATAGATGCGAGTATCATCTTCAAATGTGGGCTATCGGCCTATAAAAATTCCGAAGGAGGATGCACGGACTGTGTGGATATCCGTTAAAAACATAGAGTTTTGCTGGGACGCCCATCGGTACGGTTATCTCAACTTAACCAGCTATTGATGGTTACAATTCATGTAAATGGTTGTTAGCAAATACAACGACTGCGTTACATGCTTTAGTCGTGTTTTAGTAAGGCTGAAATCGACCTCTACCGCGACCTCCTTGCGACCCCCCTCGCCCACCACCACCGCCTCCTCCTCCAAAACTAGATCCTCCTCTACCTCGGGGGGCACCTCGCCCAGCTCCAGCACCTCGTCCTCGCCCGCCTCCGGCGAAACCGCCGCGGAAACCAGCCGAGCCGCCTCGTGCCCCTCTGCCCCCACCTCTAGTGGCTCCTCTGGCCGCACCTCGTCCACGTTCTGCAGTTTCAAGAATAAAGTCAGTACATGTTTTGAATGTGCTTGTCCATAACAGCCACGAGATCTGTGGAGAAGGGAAATGAGGTGAAGTGACGTACTCTCTCCTGTTGAACGGCAGAACAACCAGTTATTGTCAAAAATGTTACGTTATCATCCCGTAGATCAAAATGAAAGGCATAGCGGTGCGAAAGAATGAGTGTGGTCAGAAAGTTGACCGAAGTGTCTGAATTCGACAGAGAGGGAAGACGGCCCGGATGAACCAGAAACATACCTTTTGCTTCCTTTGGTTTTGGGAGAAATCGCTCGAGTGGTAGCAGTTTATCAGCACCGATAAACACCTTGTCTCCTTTTTGAAAGCTACTAGCGACCATCCCTTCGCCCATCTTGACGGAAAAGTAAACTTCGTTGATGGGTCCCAGGATCTCGTCCACTTTTCCAATCGCAGATTTGTTTTCTAGATAGATCGGAGCATTGAAATAGGGAACCTTGTCCTTGAGCACTGAACTGCAGAGCATTTCGTCTTCTACGGCATGCATGAACTGGCCCATTTCTACCCGAGCGCCGGGTCCCCCAAATGAATGAAAAATGAATTAAATAAGTGGATGCATATTGTCGTGCATTATTTGCTCACCCAGGATAGTGTCTGGTGGACCAGCATCAAAGGACCTGTTCTGATAGCCACCGCGGCTACCACCTCCGCCGCCTCCTCGACCTTTTTTTCATAGTATCAGTATCAGAGTCGCGAAACTTGTGAGATAAGAGCATACCGCGTCCTCGATCAAACCCGCCGCTCGCTCCTCCACGACCTCTTTGAAAGCCTCTGCTCATTTGTCAGGATAAAAAAGACAAATGGGATTTAGAATTTTGATTATATTTTAATTATGGGGTTCAATTTTGTCCAAAACAGAAGTCAAAGTCAAATCGGAGTTTTTCCGAACTCGTGGTCGTCGAGACGGGGGAATGAGGCAGCCTTGGCCAAACACAGGGTGCCAAACAAAAGAAATCTTCCCCTCGCTCACTTGCTCCATTCGGGAATCTTACCTCCCTATCTTGGACCTCTACCACACCCAGTTATCGTTCGCAGAATTATATACGACAAATCCAAGGCCATCCATCTAATCTTGCTCGTCCTATATTCCACCTTTTAATCGCCCTCGCTATCCCTACCTACAAATCGTTCGCGAATTCAACTTTTAGACGAAAAGCCAGGACAGTGGTGCGAATGTCGACCAACATGATGTCTCGGGCTGGAGGGGGAACGACGACTGCCAATGCTGCCGCAGCTGCTCCTGCTAACGATGCTGCAGAGTATTCGAAGAATATGGCAGGAAAGAAGAAAAAAGCAACTTTCGAATGTCAGCATTGTGCCCGTAAGTTCGCCACGAGATCTCATCTCGTTCGCCATTCTCGCGTCCACACGGGCGAGCGCCGCTATGCCTGCGACTACCCAGGTTGCGAAATGCGATGTTCCAGAAAGGATAATCTTCAACAACAGTTAGTCTTGCCTTTATCCATCTATTTTGCCATCATTTCCTTTCTCGTACACCCATGTCTCTTTTCCAACACGTGCCGGTTTTCGCCTTGCGACTGGCCCGTCATATCACCCCATCCACTGACCCATAATCTCGTCACCGTTTTTCTTTTTCGCTCTTTCCGCTGAATTCTCTCAAAAAATTTTTACTCGAATTCTGACACATGGAAATAGCTACAGGACACATCTTGTCGTCAATCCCCGGCGAGCCAATGCTCAATCTGCACTTAATACAGCCCACAACCTTGACCCTGAGCCAGCAGACCAATCACACGATTTCAGCGACGTCAACAATAAGGCGACCTCGCCTGTCGATATGAAACCCATTCCCGTTAATGGGTTGGGCGACGGCCTCATGTCCATCGCCACCAACGTCAATCTCCCTCACAACGGCGGCAACCTTAATGCCACTGCCAACGACGGGGAGAACCCGGAACGAGAGTGGAGTATCAGTCCTCCACCACTCTCCAGTGCCTACGACTACTGGTACCAACACGGATGCCTCCCACATACCGTTCGTAATCCAGCTTCGGTCTCTGGCTCTGGATCGTCGGGCGCCACTAGCCCAGCGATGAGTAATGCGCTCGAGCTTGCGCCTGGCCAGATGCAACACCATCAGAGGACGTATATGGAGAGCCCGACGACTTTCTATACACCGCACTCGATGCACCATCACAATGGCACTGGAATCACGACTCCGACGAATGCCAACGGTGCCTATGCGTTTGAAGGAGAGAACACTGCAACTGCAATGAGAACCTCTTATCCGCTAGGAACAGCTACGTTCCCGACCGCCGCAGAATACCAACACGCTGCGCCCTCTTCCCACCAACGCTCGCATTCTCATTCCTCCTATACACTAGGTGGCAATACGGCAGGAACCGGGTATCCTCGAATGGGATACGAATCTGCTACCGCCTCGCCGCAGCTGCACCACTCGCACCTTCACCATCACCACCAGCAACAGCAACATCACAATGGGCACAATATGCAGCCTCAGGCACGGCATCACTCTTATTCAACCGATTCATACTCGCCATCGGTCTCCTATCCGGGGAACGCTTCCCGGACATTAGCCGCTCCATATAACCCAGGCACCACTCCCACCGCCGGAGGAAGTTACAATGCATCGGCTAGCTCTCCCACCGTTCAAACGCATCCCTCGACCTTCCACGGACATCATCACTCGCACTCTGCAGATAGCAGACCTGTGACACGTCACGGCTCGATGGGTGCCTCGAATCCCTATTCGCTCCCCGTATATCCATCCCACCCACATTCCGGTATGCCGTACGGAGTTGTCGATATGCCATCCCAGGCGGCGCCCCATCCTGGCCACTATAGCCAGTCACCCGTACAGCGACATAGCATGCCGAACTCGCCTCGTATGTCGACATCACACGTACAACCGACCAACTCGTCGTCCTCGTCGCTCGTTCTCCCGCCAATTCGGTTTGCGGACGGTGAGATGAGCATGGGTGGCCATTTCACGAGCGGAAATGGTTGGGAGAGGGTCAACATAAGTGATGCTCGTGCTCTTCCTCCTCAAGGCGCTCCTGGTATGGCGCGTTGAGTATGCATTTTGTTTGTGCCCTTTGACAAGGCGTCGACTCCAACCAATGTTGGAGCGCCGTCGTTGGCCACAGCTTGTCATGTTAGATCCGGATCGTACAATATTTGACCCTGTTTTTTAAAACCGAGCAAAGGCTCTTCCTTGGCTTGATTCTGGAGCACCGCAAGCAAGTTTCAAACCCTCCACCCTATTAATAATTGGAATTTATATACTCGTCGGTCCCACAACAAGGAGCTGCTATTGTACACCGGCCCAGGCAAGGTTCCTTGTGGCCAGGAGCGGCGTTGTTGGGGGGTTCCCCTCTGTGTTTTCATTTGCCATTTTAACTGCAGTTGTCTCTTCTATGGATCGGAGGCTCATGGCGCATCAACTTGGTCCTAATTCGACATTGGTTGCACCAATTATTGTTTAATGTGTCTTGCTCCTAGCGCTGTAACAATCGATACCTCGCTGCATCACACAAATCATGTGTTTTTCCCCTTTTTCAATCATATCTCATCTGTCCCTTTCATCTCCGATCCAACTTATCTCATTTTGCAGGCTCGTTGCTCCCTATCAATCACCTAATGTCATGACCCTTTGCTTGTT